GATAGAATGAATCATAATTCGATAGTGAATATTGCATAAAGAAAAAAAAAATTACAAAATGGAAATTAAAAAGTCTTGAGAGATATTGTTCATAAAATTAAAATCAGTAGTTAGTTATGGAACATGTTCAATTTATAAAAGAAGAAATCTAAGAATTAAGAGGTCAAAATCTAAGACAGTATTTTATTGTAAATGAAAAAAGATAATTTTAACTATAATTAACTGTCATAAACTTTAGATATAGTACCAAGATAAAAAGCACTACCACAATAAATTTAAATCAAAGTAATTGTTAGGTTTTATGAACTAGAACTAACAAAATTGAATATGATCAATATATTGTATGTATATTATATTATCAAAAAATAATATACGAACCTCTCTTGAAAAATAAATAAATAAAAATAAAAGTTACTTTTTAAGCTCTTAGAAGATGTCTGTATTTTTTAACTTGAGGTTCAGTCCAATTTTATTAGATTCTCAAGTCCTTTATGTTCTTGACAAAAAATAAATAAAATTCCCTTGTAGATGTGCCTAAATTCATTTGCATACAGCATGGTGCCATTTTTACATGGTATTGAAGTCTTTGTAAGACATTTGGGCTCTGTATTTGTTGATAACAAACGCCGTCATCAATACTCCTAAAAAGCAATATAATATATTTTAAATCTTCAATTTTATTTGAAAATATATTGCACATTTGTTTATTGAAATATTGTGTGCTATCTATTTTACGATACTGAAAATATATTAGATACCATTGGGGATAAAACTAGTTAAATGAGTCTAATCAAGTCCAAATAAAGAATCCAAAACTGGACATTTGGGCAATGAATAATGAGTCACCAACAATTCTTGGTCCAAATCCGAGTAATAATATTTCAAAATTTGGTTACCTTAAAATAGAGCGGGGTACCGATTGGGAACCCATTATCAGATAACCAACCCATTATCCAAGTAAAAGGGGAACAAACCACGGGCAAAACTAGGAATTTACTTTGGGGAGGGCTGAAATTTTTTTCAACATAATACTTAATTATATTTAATTCATTTTTACAAATCTTATGAGTATGAGAATTTTAAATAATAGATTGAGAACTTTGAAATTTGTTTTTCATCAAAAAGAAATGCTAATTATATGATAATACTGCAATGAAAAATGATAATAGTGAGATGCTGGAGACCTATTACAGATAAATTGCTAATGAGAACACTAATATTTATGATAAAATAAATTGCTATCGAGAACACTAATATTAAAGATGTACTTCAGATTCGGTTGGATCCAAGATTAGCACCCATAATTCCCCTCCTCGCTTTTAGATTTTCTAAACCTATAAGGCTAGGCAAATCACAAATTAACTTTTCAACAGTCTAGGTATAATCTATAATTCTCTTTACTAATTTAATCATAGCTTGATTGGCTAAAGACTATCATCAATTGATCAAAAGCTCCTAACAATTAAAACCATTAGTTGGTACAAAGTCAACAAATATAACCTATCAACTTTGTATCACCTAAATAATCAATTATCATAATGAATGAATTCCTGGCAGAGAAATACTACTAAATTCAAATATCACTTGATTGCAATCGGAATTGAAGCAATTGAAAGCATTGATCAACATTTAGCTTTCTCAAACAAACGTTCAATGTGTAATCAGTTCAATTTCAATAAACATTCTTGTAAAAGCTTATAAAAATAAGAATCTATAAAAATAATTGCAGAATAAAAAATTTCACCAACCACACACATTAAGAACTTAAAACAACAATAATGATAAGCAATAGACGAGTCAGATTATGAACAATGAAGATAAATAACATTAAGCTATAAATAAGAGATATACAAGGAATAATAAATGAGTTGAGAGAGAAGAAGTGCTCATGGATTTATAGTGGTTCGGAGTTATATCCACAAACCTCTTACATCCACTTCTTCAAGGCAACTATATTAGTTTAACAGGTTTTCACCTCTTACAATAGTTTGATAGGATTTCACTTTTAGATTTATAGAATTTTGCCTACAAGATATTTGAATAAAAGCTTGTGAATGATTGCCTTTTAAACGAGGCTTAAATATATAATAAGAACAATACTCTCAAATGTTCTTAAATATATAATAAGAACAATACTCTCAAATGTTTTTAAATGAGTACAAGAGAGTGATGATTAATTTGGATTTTTAACTGAAAGGATTATGTGAGAATTCCACCATCACAAACAGTTATTCTTTTTATAACAGTTATTTTCGTACAACTTTAAAGATTATGGAATGAACACCAATTTCAAAGTACTCAGGACTCAAATACAATAAAAGTTTATTTTTTTTATTTTTTTCTTTATGTAGTTCTCATTCCAACAAATAGTTTACCTACACTTTCTATTCTATCGATTAAGCTTCACAGTAAGTAATATCAATGGAAGAATGAAAACTATTGTCGTAGAAAAATTCAGCCAATGCCAAATCATTTACCAAGAACCACCCAAATAGAGTCAGAGACAAAGTTTGAATTATGGGGTAGCCGAATATAAACATATAAATGAAAATAGAATGAAAATTTTCAAACAGTTTTAAACTGTTCATATTTTTAACTTATAATAAAGGAGTCAGTTCTATGATGTAAAGTAATAAAAAATTTGAAAGCCCTTGCACATAGTACAAATTATAATTTTTTCTTAATTACCAAGGAGCCACGTACCCATGGGCTTGGGCCTTCGGGTGCCGACCACGCCGAGCCTAAGGGTGACTTTGTCCTTGCACGCAAAACTTAACTATAAGCTTGTAATTTTTTACTTAGCTTGTGTGTTAAAGTTGCCCAAAATTTTGAAGTGAACCATTCTCATTAAACACATGGATTTCGGAGTTTCATGACCTTAAAAATGGTGATTTTTTTTTTTTTTTTTTTTGTAATTTTAAAGGGTTGTTGAATATATAATATATATATATATAATGCCTCTCTATGTCTGGACAAATTAACAAGAAATTATATCAGACCTTCAACCTAACAATTAAGCTGATCCAATTGGTTATAATAAATGCTAATTAAAGGTCATCTTTACTAATATATTTTTACATTAAATGCAAATATTTTTTTCTCTCTCTTGAACTTACTAAATGGTTTAAAGAGTAAACAAAATCTAATTAAAGCATAAACAGAGACTTCCATCGCAGACCTGTTATGTGCATATTTTATTAAATTAATAAAGTACAAGTCAAAACTTCCTATTTTAATGGGATTGATTTTTTACTTGTTGAAAAGTTTAGTGAAAGTAGTTTTTTTTAACTTCATGTAAATCCCAAATAGTGAGAGTCCGTTCAATTTTTATGTTTATAACTGTTAAGTATGATGTATAAATAAGTGTTCAAAAAAAAAAAAAAAAAAAAATGTTAAAAAGTTTAATTTTGCTGATTTTTTTTTTTTGGTGATCGGAGTGTCCGGACCAGCTTGCACGTATCTCAACTAATCTTCGAATCGATTGATACCTTTAAATCTATGAGTCAAATAAATCACAGATGTGATAGGTGGTCACTTGATGAGACTTAAACATAAGACCTTTAGATAACATAAGGTCTTGCCATCTAACCACAACCAAATGGTTTAATTAATTTCTTATTAAAGGAAAATATCTCACTCGGAGTAGATCAATTGTATTATTAGTCTTGCTATTTTTCTTGTCTCATTCAAAATAGGTAAAACTCAACAAAGAGTTCCCAAAGTAAATGCTCGATTCCAAATTGTGAGGGGTAATTATTATAATCTCAATTTAACAAATTATTTGCAAAACCTCAACACCGTAATTAATTTTTATAATTCTAAATATTCATAAAAAAATTGAAGAAAAAATTAAATATCTTATCTGAAAAATAAAATATATCACTACCAAATGAGTGAGGCTAAAATGGTATTTATACAAATGTTGTGTCAAAGTTTGCTTTCAATGAGCCTATCAAATTATTGGGTTTAATTAACATATTTCAAAATTGTCGGTGTATTAAATTTGATACACACCTGAGGGTATCAAGATTTTTCGTAACCTTCATATTGGACGGGCTTGACCAGTTCCCTTCAGTAGATTGGGCTTTACTTGAGATTTTCCTAGCCCAATATCGTCCTAGTCTTCTAGAGAATAAATGTATACCTTAAGTAAACCTAATATCATTTTATTACTTAAGAAATATTGGAGAAAATCTAAGGTATTTTGGGCACGCAACATTGCATAGCACTACGCAGATTTTATAGCATAACACTAAATAATATAATATTATGTAATGTTATACAAAATGTTGTATGATGTTTGGTAGAACATTGTATTGTATAATTTTTATTCACCGTTGATCAATCACTACATATTTAAATTCATAAACATTAAAATAAGTTGGCAGTGTTTAAAATTAATGCTAAGTAAAATTGCATTAACTAAAACAATGGTTTTAGTAGGCATTATTTAATACAAAATATATTGCTTTATTTTAATCTTATTATTTAATACAATGCTTTTTTATTATTTTGCATTGTATTAAATAATAAGTTTAAAATAAAGCAATATATTTTGTATTAAATAATGTCTACTAAAACCATTGTTTTAGTTAATGCAATTTTACTTAGCATTAATTTTAAACACTGCCAACTTATTTTAATGTTTATGAATTTAAATATGTAGTGATTGATCAATGGTGAATAAAAATAATACAATACAATGTTCTACCAAACATCATACAACATTTTGTATAACATTACATAATATTATATTATTTAGTGTTATACAGCTTACTTAATACTATGTTATGTCATGTGTCAATCTGTAAGCTGGTTTGAACATCCTGATTAAAAAAAAAAAAAAAAAAGAAGTAGAGATGTGTCAAACATGCCCTAAAAGTAAATGTTCTTTGTAACATGGATTACAAAAAGAAAATAGAAAAAATAAGATCACTTGAGCATGAATGTAAATGCCAAACAAGTAAAAATCATTGCCAAAATGTTCATAATACGGGTAGCTATGGTAAAGAAGGTAAGTTCACAATCTCTTGCTCACACCTATTACAAAGAAATATAGGAGGATTTTCTTCATTGTTAGGAATCCCAACACACCTTGAGTGCTGCCACACTTCACAAATGTCACAGCTAATCATTCTTTCTCCATCATCATCTTCTGCTCCACAACCACAATCTACAACACAATTTCTTACCCCATTTTCAAACATTTCATCATTCATAATCCCTCTCTCTTTGCTTATGCTTCCCTCAAAAACAATTTTTCTCCCAACTTCAACAAACTCAAAAACCAAATCCGATCCTTTGGCATTCAAATTCACTATTGATTCAACATTAAAACTCCTCAATCCCCAATACACTTCCCTGAAGCTCCTTTCCACTTCTAACTTAAGCTTATCAAATGTAGCATTATTCTTTAGCGTAATGCATTCATATGGTAATTGGATTATTGTTTTCTTCATTTCTTCATTGGCTTGTTCATTGTTTCTTAGTGTAACCGTACAATAAACCTTTAATTTCCCTTCCATGTCCAATTCAACTTTATTAGAACAAAACTCGCCCCCATATTCTTTAACAAAACATTTGGTGTCAAGAATTATCCTGGAAGCCATTGCTATTCCACTGAGAACCCCTGAGCTTATTGCTTGCTTTTGGTCCACTTTAAAAATATACTTGAACAAAGTTTGCATATCCTTGGTCAATTGAGACCCTGTTATCTTATACTGAGCTTTGATGTTTGAATTATTGAAGGCCAAATCTTGGTTAGGAAATATATTAGAAATGTCTTCCAAACAATACTCTAAAACCTTTGTCACAGGATTCAAGCTACGGCGAACCAAATACTTCCCCACAATGTGATTTCCAAGCGACTTGAGAACAAAATCAAGCAATCCCGTGTCACCAATATATGCACGAGCAACATCCCTAACTTCTTGCCTTGAAACCCATCTGGATTCAGAACTTTTCAATGCTTCAACAATCACTCTAGTCGCCATTTCAACTCTCTTGGCTGACCATCTACAAGTTGTATCAACTAAGATTCCGGGGTTGTAGGAACCACCACAATTTTCTTTCGGAAGTCTAGACTTGAGTTCCAATAAGAAATGAAATAGGTCACCAAGTGTCCCCAATGAATTGTCAGAAAATGTTTGGTATCTTGAGAAAATAAGTGGGATGAATTGGTTGAAATTGGCGAGATGTTGAATGAGTAAACTTAGTGGCATGGATTGTATTGCTTCAATGGCTTTTTGGTAGACGGGTTGAGTCACACCGAAGCTGCCACGCCCAAATTTGTAGCCCCATTGACCAAACCATGGTTGGTTGTATGCTACAACGTGAAGAAGTCTCAATTCCATGCCTTTCTTCTTTGAAGTGTCACACAAACTCACTTTCCTAACAAATAGATAATGTGGTTAATTTAATCAGTGTTTAAGCAAATGAAATAAGGAGTTAAATTAGATGGGGCATGTATAATAAGAAGGCTAACCTTGCGAGCAAAGCAGTGCATAAGCGATCCAGGAAATCCATGATTTGGTATCCGGTCAAGTCGGACCCCATTTCCACCCCATTTACACACAACAAATGCCCAAACCCATTTGAGTGAAAGACAACATGCAGGATATGGCTATGTAATTCAACTAAATTAGACTTACCGGCATCGTTGTCACCTTCACAGCTTAGTAAGGCAGCCACCATATTCTTTGAAGGCAAAATAAAGTGATACTTCTTATTGCAAACCATATGATGACCCCAGCCTGAGCCATCATACAAACACTAAACTTTGTCACATGGATATTCAATACACATAATTTTTAATTATATTCATTAATAAGAAAAAACTAATACATATCCTAACATGAATTCATCCATTTGAAACACAGGTGATATGATACTTTTGTTGTATCTAATTTTTTCTTTTCATAACTATTGTTAGAAAAACTTCACTATGTACCTAAACTACATGCAATAATTTTTTTTTTAACAGGGTTTTATATAATGTTCCCACCATAAATATATATGGATATATCTATAAATTGTAAGTAATATCTTGTTGACAAAAGAAAATTGTTTACAGTTACTTATCATAAAAAAAAAAGAAAAAAACAAATATTTCTACACTGTATCTTATTTAACTATACCTTATTTGTCATTATAAATATTTTCTATCCATCTCCGTATATCATTATAAAATGGCAATAAATTAATTTATAATCCATGGAACACTGGATTCAATGAAATAAAAATAAATAAATTAGAAAAATAGGGGCATTAGAGTTAAGGCTTCACCAACATATCGGCAATGCTTGCAATGATGTTGAGTTGATGCCCCCATTGGCTCCTCTACAACAAATAATAAGGTATGAAGAGGAGGATGGCGACGAACTTCAAGTTGAAATGACCAGCTTGCCAATCCATTGCATAAGTTTGTCTCAGAATTCCCAAGTTCAAGAAGCATTTTAACATTATGCCTAAAAGGACCATCAAACTCAATCGGATACCCATGTTCACCAAAACTCTTAAACCTAAAAACCCTCTCTCCCCTCTTCCTCTTTTTGCACTCCATTGAATATAATGAGAAGGAGGGAACTAATGAAAGTTCAAGGGAGGCAAATTACATATAAACATGATGTAACTCAAGCTTGGTCACACATGCACATAGTGCCAAGCAATAAAATTGGTGGGAGAATTTAATGAAATGAGAGCATGTGGTTATCAAATTTAGATTATGCATTGCTCACTATTTGCATGATTTCATATAAAAAAAAAAATAGAATCCCATCTCTCTAATCGCATGATTTCATACAAAATACACTTCCATGCAAATCTATCGTGGCTGTGGATGCAATACGAGGGTTTCTATGTTTAAATAATTATAACACGCTTTGATCATGCAAATATTTCAACATTACAATCGCTTTATGTTCCGGCAAATTCTAGGTTCATGACCTCGAATTTATTCATTTTGTCTTTCAAGGATACACATAAACACACTACTTCTTGCCCAACTACTTCAAACGTCCCACCTTTTTTCTATTCAAATCTTGTTCTTGGAAGTTTTAATTGCCTCAACATTTATAACTTTTCCATCATTTTTAACAATGCCAGAACCAAGTTCAACAACTCATAACTTCATATTAGTAACATATAAGTATTCCACATCAAAAGAGTTGACAAAATAGTACGATTTTTTGTGTTATAAATGATACAATTATTATATTTATTATTAATTATTAATATGTAGTATCTATCAAGTATGAATTGTGGGCCTTGAAAAGCTTTTTGGTCTGGTGATATTATTGGACTAATAATAGCCCTTCTATTATGGGCTTGAATTGTAACCGGCCCAATTCTATTGAGTTCTAGAACTATAAAATGGATTCTTTTAACCCTTTGTCAAATAATATTGGACCTTTTGTACAAGTGGGTCTCTTTAGAATGACAGATGTGATAGAAATTTGTTTTTTTTTTTTTTTTTATAATAGATGAAAATATTTAAACCCGAAAATTTAACTCATCGATTTGAAAATATAAAAGCATAATCTAAGGTATATTTTAGTATGAATATTTTGTAAATTAAGATTGTAAAATTTGGAGGAGGGAGTACATAAGAAAAATATAAAAGAAAACAAAGACGTGTCAAAAAATTAATGTTAAGTTAAATTCTAATAGTTGAAATTAATGTTAAGTTAAATTCTAATAGTTGAAATTGGAGCAATATTAAAAATATAGAAGCTAAATTTAAGACAATGATGTGTCAAATTTTTTTTTATTATTTTTAATACTTTGATTATGACAACCATTTCGGCATAAAAAGAACAAGAGCAAAAAGATAAGTATACCCGACTCTCTCTCTCTCTAGGCAGGCAAGGTTCCCCAGGATTTCGGAGACCCTCCTGCCCCGTCCCATATGGGACGGGGAAGTCTGGTTTTTTTGGGGATAGGGGCGGGGATGGGTCGGGGGTGTTTTAATCCCTGTCCTCGGGATGGGTCGGGGGTGGGTAATGCCTTTCCCCCGCCCGTCCCGTTATATATAATAAAATTAAAAATGTATATATATTTTACTTTTTACTAATATCCCTATATTTAACCTAATTCACAATTATCCTACCTATAACACATATTTCCTAATTTCTCTCACTCTAAACAATTGAACAAGAACAACCCTGACCCATATTATGTAAAAATTATGTTTACCGATTAATTTAGTGTTTGTCATGTAGACGAGAATTAACTATGTGTTTGATAATGCTCAATTAATTTATATTTATATAAAATTAACGAGGCGGGGAGCCTAAACATCCCCTCGGACGAGGAAGGGGAATTCCTGTTATCCCCGAACGGGGATGGGGTGGGGGGGGGAATGATTTTGAGGGTGGGGATGGTTATGGGGAATGAGATCCTCGCCCCATTGCCATGCCTATGGGGAGGTTGAAATTTTTTTCAACATAAACTTAATTATTATTAATTCTTTACAAATCTATGAGTATGAGAATTTTAAATATAAGATTGAAACTTTGAAATTTGTTTTTCATCAAAAAGAAATGCTAATTATATGATAATACTGCAATGAAAATGATAATGTGGATGCTGGAGACCTATTACAGATAAATTGCTAATGAGAACACTAATATTTATGATAAAAAATTGCTATCGAGAACACTAATATTAAAGGTTACTTCAGATTCGTTGTTGATCCAAGATTAGCACCCATAATTCCCCTCCTCGCTTTTAGATTTTCTAAACCTATAAGGCTAGGCAAATCACAATTATTTTCAACAGTCTAGTATAATCTATAATTCCTACTAATTTAATCATAGCTTGATTGGCTAAAGACTATCATCAATTGATCAAAAGCTCCTAACAATTAAAACCATTAGTTGGTACAAAGTCACAAATATAACCTATCAACTTTGTATCACCTAAATAATCAATTATCAAATAATGAATTCCTGGCAGAGAAATACTACTAATTCAAATATCACTTGATTGCAATCGGAATTGAGCAATTGAAAGCATTGATCAACATTTAGCTTTCTCAAACAAACGTTCAATGTGTAATCAGTTCAATTTCATAAACATTCTTGTAAAAGCTTATAAAAATAAGAATCTATAAAAATAATTGCGAATAAAAAATTTCACCAACCACACACATTAAGAACTTAAAACAACAATATTATACATAGACAGTCAGATTATGAAAACATGAAGAAATAACATTAAGCTATAAATAAGAGATATACAAGGAATAATAAATGAGTTGAGAGAGAAGAAGTGCTCATGGATTTATAGTGGTTCGGAGTTATATCCACAAACCTCTTACATCCACTTCTTCAAGGCAACTATATTAGTTTAACAGGTTTTCACCTCTTACAATAGTTTGATAGGATTTCACTTTTAGATTTATAGAATTTTGCCTACAAGATATTTGAATAAAAGCTTGTGAATGATTGCCTTTTAAACGAGGCTTAAATATATATAAGAACATACTCTCAAATGTTCTTAAATATATAATAAGAACAATACTCCAAATGTTTTTAAATGAGTACAAGAGAGTGATATTATTGGATTTTTAACTGAAGGATTATGTAGATTCCCCACACAAACAGTTATTCTTATAACATTTTATTTTCGTACAACTTTAAAGATTTGGAATGAACACCCAATTTCAAAGTACTCAGGACTCAAATACAATAAAAGTTTATTTTTTTTATTTTTTCTTTATGTTTCTCATTCCAACAATAGTTTTACCTACACTTCTATTCTATCGTTAAGCTTCACAGTAATAATATCAATGGAAGAATGAAACTATTGTCGTAAAAAATTCAGCCAATGCCAATCATTTACCAAACCACCCAAATAGAGTCAGAGACAGAGTTTGAATTATGGGTAGCCGAATATAAACATATAATGAAATAGAATGAAAATTTTCAAACGTTTTAAACTGTTCATATTTTTAACTTATAACAAGGAGTCAGTTCTATGATGTAAATAATAAAATTTGAAGCCCTTGCACATAGTACAAATTATAATTTTTTCTTAATTACCAAGGAGCCACGTACCCATGGGCTGGGCCTTGGAGTGGCCACGACCACGCCGACCTAAGGTTGACTTTGTCTTTGAACGCAAACTTAACTATAAGCTTGAAATATGTCTTCCAAGTATGAACTATTTTTTTCTTACGTCCAATCTGCAAATAAGAATGATACTGAAACGAAGTTTTTTACTTAGCTGTTGTGTAAAGTTGCCCAAAATTTTGAAGTGAAACACAATTCTCAGTTAAACACAATGGATTTCGGAGTTTCATGTAACCTTAAAAATGGTGATTTTTTTTTTTTTTTTTTTTTGGTAATTTTAAGGGTTGTTGAATATATATTTCATTATTATTTCACTAATAAATTTTAAAAAAATTCGATTCAAAACTTGAACGGTACAGTCAATGCCAACCAACAAAGTCAAAACATGGCAAACGTGGTCAAGATAGTAAATTGGTTAACACCAGTCAAATATTTTTCGTTCCAATTAAACACTTGTGTGACCGACGTTAACCACCTTGATCAATCACTACATATTAAATTCATAAACATTAAAATAGGTTGGCAGTGTTTAAAATTAATGCTAAGTAAAATTGCATTACTAATAACATGGTTTTATTAGACATATTTAATACAAAATATTTGCTTTATTTTAAACTTGTTATTTATGAACAATGCAACTTTATTACTAAGCACTATATTTATTATTTAGTGTTATACAGCTTACTTAATACTATGTTATGTCATGTGTCAATCGCAAGTTGGTCTGGACTCTTGATTATAAAAAAAAAAAAAAAAAGTGTGTCAACATGCCTTAAAAGTAAACGTTCTTTGAACTGAATTACGAAGAGAAAATGGGAAAAATAAAATCACTTGAGCATGAATGTAAATGCCAAACAAGTAAACATCATTGCCAAAATGTTTATAATACGGGTAGCTTGGTAAAGAAGGTAAGCTCACAATCTCTTGCTCACACTATTACAAAGAAATATAGGAGATTTTCTTCATTGTTGGAATCCCACACAACCTTAGTGCTGCCACACTTCACAAATGTCACAGCTAATCATTCTTCTCCATCATCACTTCTGCTCCACAACCACAATCTACACACACTTTCTTACCCCATTTTCAAACATTCATCATTCATAATCCCCTCTCTTGCTTATGCTTCCCTCAAAAACAATTTTTCTCCCAACTTCAACAAACTCAAAAACCAATCCGATCCTTTGGCTTCAAATTCACTATTGATTCACATTAAAACTCCTCAATCCCCAATACACTTCCCTGAAGCTCCTTTCCACTTCTAACTTAAGTTATCAAATGTAGCATTATTCTTTAGCGTAATGCATTCATTGGTAATTGGATTATTGTTTTCTTCATTTCTTCATGGCTTGTTCATGTTTCTTAGTGTAACCGTACAATAACCTTTAATTTCCCTCCATGTCCAATTCAACTTTTTAGAACAAAACTCGCCCCCATATTCTTTAACAAAACATTTGTGTCAAGAATTATCCTGGAAGCCATTGCTATT